TATATACACACACACACACACACAGAGAGAGAGAGAGAGAGAGAGGGGAGAGAGTGTCAGTCCCTGGGTAGCACAAATGGTTAAGTGCTCAGCTACTAACCAAAAGCTTGGCAGTTTGAACCCACCCAGAGGCACCTAGCTAAAAGCCCTGGCAATCTGCTTCCAAAAGGTCATGGCCTTGAAAACCCTACGGAGCAGTTCCACTCTGCAACACATGGGGTCACCATGAGTCGGAATTTACTTAATGCTCAATAGCAACTGGTACTGGATATATATATATGTATGTATATGCAGTTCGAATCTACCAGCCACTTCTTGGAAACTCTACGGGGCAGTTCTACTCTGTCCTATAGGGTCGCTATGAGTCGGAATTGACTCGACAGCAACAGGTTTGGTTTTTGGTTTGTGTGTGTGTGTGTGTGTGTGTGTGTGTGTGTGTGTGTAGAAAGAGATTTATTTTAAGGAATTGGCTCACGTAATTGTGGGGGACTGGCAAATCCAAAATGTACAGGTCAGGCGACAGGCTGGAGATTCCTGCAGTCTTATGTCCCAAAATCCCTAGGTCAAGCAACATTCAAATAAAGGTAACTATTAACTAAGTTGGAGTTACAGATCTAGAGTTCAGGGGAGTGATTTGGGAGCTGTCGGCATATATTATGGTAGCTGAAGTCATACAGACAGGTTTTGTCATTCAAGGAGAGCAGTTAAGATAGAAATGAAAGAAGACAAGGACAAGATTCTCATGTAAACCAACATGAGGGGTGATCGAAGGAGGAGAAGTCCACAATTAATTAGAGAGATAGACACATAATCAGGAAGAAATACTGCCAAAAAAGCCTAGGAAGAAGAGAATTCTAGAAGAAACTGATGCAGCTAAGAGGTCAGGTAAATAAGGACTGAAAATTAGGAATTGGTGGTATTTGCCAGAGTAGTCTCAGTGGAATAATGTAGCAGTAACCCAAGTCCTGTTAAGTTAAAGAATGAATGGGAGATAAGGAAGTAGAGACAGTCAATTCCTTCCAGGACCCTGGCTATAATGGGAAAATTGTAATAACTGGTAGCCAGACATAATGCCGAGGTTGAGTGTTCAGTTTAATTGATTGATTCATTTATTGTTTTGAGCATGGTTGTGACTGCTGGGAAGGACTGAGGAAAGAGGAAACATTGAAAAATAGAAAATCAAGGGAATGACTAATCGAAAAATGCCCAGGAGAAGCAGCACAAGTTCATTTGAGACTGGAGGAGATAAAGTGGAGTTGGGCCTTTGTACAGATGGGTTTCTGGATGTAGGGATCAGTATCACACACTTGGTAGCCCAAGTTTATGCCGTAACATGGAAGGCAGGATCATCTGCTGAGCAATGAAAATACAACTGCAGCTAGAGACTAAAATGTGTAATGAGACCCATCCTCAAACTTGGGTGGTTTCCTTCAGTAGTACTTGACCTTCTGCTTACATTTTCTTTAAAATTGTCATGAGCCTTATTGATGCTGCTTCAAGAAAATAAAAGAGCATGTGTTCATAAAAAAGCATCCTCTGCTATACTGACCTTTGGAATTCTAAACAGCAAGCTGGCCTTCTTCCCACTACACTCCATCCATCTGATTTTGCAATCGACAAGAGGAGACAGAGATAGAAAGATGGATGGTGTGTGTGCATGTCCATATGTTGTGCTCTTTAGGGGTGATGACATATGTAGGGCCACAGAAATCTTCCAATGCAGCAGAATGAAAAATTTGAAAACTGCTGCTTTTGCTCATGAAGAAATTTTACTTAGTACATACCTTTGAACGTACTGTTTAATCCAAATAGCGTTATGCACCAAAATATCTGGTGTTCGTTCTGCCTAGATAATCATGAGTCCTCATTTTCCTACTCCAGTTCTCAGATGAACATAATTCAACAATGAATTAAAAATAGGAGGATAATGGCCCTTGTTGATCAGCAAAGCAATAGGCCACTGGCTTTGGTTTCAGGACTCAATCTTTAGGAAAACTCCTTGAATTCTGGAGATCAACTACAAGTAGAAATCCTTGTTTTCTTGGGGGTGAGAGGGAGAGGAGGAGGGCAGAAATACAGTTTAGAAAATAGTTCTATTTTAGGAGCCTTGATGGCACAGTGGTTAAGTGATACGGCTGCTAACCAAAAGGTCAGCAGTTCGTATCAACCAGCTGCTCCTTGGAAACCATATGGGGCAGTTTTACTCTGTCGTAGAGTGTTGCTATGGGTTGGAATTGACTAGATGGCAAATAGTTTTTAACTCTATTTTGAGTACATCAGTGGGATAAAATATTGTTTCCAATAATTCTGAATGAATGAAAAAGCTCTGTAATGACCAATTCTCAACTTGACCACATCAACATGTCTTTCACTGATTAATTCAGTCATTCTCTCTGACAGTCTTACATTCTCAGTTTCTTTCCCAAAACACTTAAATACTGAAACACTGTAGTTTTTTGTTTTGTTTCGTTTTAATATACACAGGGAGCCAATCCTTTGGGAGTCTTGAGAACCTGCTTGAATTACACACTTTGAAGCTGATCGATGTCCTAGGGATGAGGTACAGGAGCCAAGTGCTCTAGGAGCAGCTTTGGAGGTGGTTGCGTGAATTTTTACCTCCAGGTCGAACTCTGTGGCCCTTCTGACTCCCTGAAAAATATTAAAGCCTAGCATTTTGATGCATGTCCATGAATGTTTTCAGGATGACTTAGATGCAAAAGGCATAGAAACCATGCTACATGAAGCATGTAGGAAAGAACAAAGACTGTTTAATCTGAAACTTGGGGAACATGAGAAATTTCTAGGAGTATATGGTGCTTTCATGTGCAAATGAGAGACACCGTTTCAAAATGGTTTACGGAAAAAGCAGATGTGTTAGGTCAGATAACTCACAAGTCCTATCAAGGATCCTGGATTTGGGCACAGCTGGAGTTTGGGGCTCAAACTAAGTTATCAGAACTTAGTTTTTGTCTATCTCTTGGCACTAGCCTTCTCTGTGTTGGCTTTTTTCTCAGCCAGGTTTCCCTTTGCCTCTGGCAATGCCACACTTACCATCTATGCCTCTAGGACCCATAGTGAAAAAAAAGGGACATTTATTTTTTAGCATTTCCAACAAAAGTCCTATACTCATTGGCTCTAAATGGCTTGTTGTTGTTGTTAGGTGCCGTTGAGTCGGTTCCGACTCATAGTGATTCTATAGGACAGAGTAGAACTGCCCCATAGGGTTTCCAAGGAGCAGCTGGTGGATTTGAACTGCTGACCTTTTGGTTAGCAGCTGAGCTCTTAAC